ATGAGATCTAAACTCTACTATGAAATTAAAAATCTTGAGTATATGAGGGAAAAGTAAGTGGATCGCGGAGACCTTTATATTATGGGCGAGTTTGGGTTTAAAGCGAATGAATTCGTAGTCCGTTAATGGTTAAGAGAACACTTAATTAAGAATATTTATATTCAGAAGATTCTAAGAAAAAGATTCTCTCTGAAATTCATATATCACAGATTGGCGAAAATTTTAGGTAAAAAGTCAGCTACGCGCACAAAGGACAACATATTCGGTATCTAGGCTTCAAAACCTATGATCTGACGTGGAAAATTTTTACATATAAGATGACATACCTTAAAGGCACTATTTCTGAGAGGTTTTATTGCGATAACTTCAATTCTTAGGTGACCCGAATTGACAATGAGTCAATGTCAGTGTAATATTATGTAGGTTGAAATAGGTAGAGTAGTATTATCCAACTGCGAGTTTCTGCGTACAAACAACCGTTAGGAGAGCAAGACTATTACTCTGTTGCAACATCTAGCAAGAGTGTAAAAATCGACAGTATTATTTTATTTTTTTCGCGTAATTAAAATCTGTGGCGACACCCACATTATAAAATTAAATACATTTATTGAAAACCAGCATATATACATTTATAATAATAAAACGTAGAATTAAGTTAACTTTTATTGTATATACTTAATCCTGCCATAAATTCTGTTACAAAAGTTTACAATGCGTACAGCGAGGGCGAATTCGCAGAACAAGTAGTTTTTTATTATAATTTTTATGTACAGTGTGACCCATAATAAGTGTCGCAAAGGAAAATGTTATAAAAATAATGTGAAACATCCACATTATTTTGTAAAAGTAATATGCAGAAAAGAACAGATTGTGATAGGAACTAAATATGTCATACAAATAAAATATTGTATTACGATTTTTTTCCAGATAACGATAACTATTTATTGAATAAACATTTATTTTCATTAAATACAAAAATTTACGAATTTATTTCAAATCGTGACTACTTAATTCGTTTAATCAGTGACTTCGGTAATAGTTATAGTCGATGTTGCCTCTGAGAACGGTATTACTGTGACAATTGGTCGATGGTAACTGAAGTATGTTACAAAAGTATTGGCCATAACATTATCAAGATATCTAATAAATACAGCATCTATTGCTGTTCCGTATCTGGTGGTAGGTTCTCTTAGATTGTTATTAATTTGCAATTGAAATTCTTCTTGGAGAAACGTAATTAATGGCGTTGATTCATCTTTTGCAAAATTTACATTGAAATCCCCAGCTAAAATCAATGGTAATTTGTCTTTATTGGTTTTGAAAATTATTGAACCTCTGTGACTGTACGGAAATAATCTCTCGTGTAAAAATGAAATGATATCATTTATTTTATTTATTAGGAGAAATGTACACAACAATCATCATCAATTTACTTCCATCTTCAAGTTTAACGTGTGAAGCACACATATCGCCAATAGATGTTTGAGAGACATGAACTTCTGTAGCATTTTAAATTACTAAATCCATGTTGAATGTGATGTATTGCTGTTTTTATAAATGGCAACTCAAGCTGCTACGGAGTATACACTATAGGCAGAGAATGTTAATGAATAGAGAAGGCGCATATGTTAGCTGTTCTAAGATGTTAATTACGATAAGGGAACATCGAAAACGCGCAAGCTCGAAAATAAAAGTTCACCACCTTATCAGGGAACGCAACGAACTACACCACTCTATAAGAGAACCAAGCAAAATGTACATACATACATATGCATAGATGTTCTTTCGCATTTGTATGAACAAAAATTGATATAGTAACAAGTAAGGAAGTTCTAAGTTCGGGTGTAACCGAACATTTTATACTCTCGCAACTTGCAAGGATCAAAGCCCGGGAAAGTACTTCAGATGTTGGCAAAATTTTATATTAAAGGAATTATTGATCCAATTCAACCCATTTTTGACAAAAAAACATACTATTATCAAGAGTTTCATTTATTTATTTTATTATATGAATTTCAATTATACTTATCTTACACATTGACCGATATATTCGGTAAAAAGTCAACACATATTCAGTTCCAAGGGGCTTGAACAATTTTGGTTCGATTTAGACAGTTTTTTGTCACAAGGTGGTATACTTTAAACGCATTATTTTCGCAAAGTTTTATCCCGATACAATTATTGTTGTTTGATTTGAATAGTGGAAAGTGAAAGAATCGGATGGAATTAAAAATGGTGTTACAAATTAAAAAGGCGTGGTTGTAATCCGATTTCGCCCATTTTCGCACTAAAATATTTGAGAAGAATGTTTTGCACTGAATTCGCTTGAAATCGGTTAAGCAGGTCCCAAGATATGGGTTTTCACCTATAAGTCCATATAGTACTTTTATATGATTACTTATTATCATTATTTCATAGTTTTTATTTTTAGCCCATTTTATCTAAATACGACTCTATGAATATGCAGCCCAATTTGTAATCTTAGTATTTCAAAAAGCCATAAGTCAATTTTCAATAGCAAATACGCACAATTTGGTGTCAATATGTATGCGAGCTCATAGGTACGTATGTATGGTTGGCAACTAAGTAATTGCGGATTTCACTCATAGATAACAGTTCAGTTGAATTTTTAGGTTTGCTGGCGTAGTCCAAATCTAAAACACATTTTGTTATTTGATAGTTGGCAATTCAGCTGTCAATCAGTAAAAAAAAAGTTTTTTGATCGGTTGAGTAGTTTTTGTTTGGCGTTCGTTGAAAAATGGAAGATTAAAAGGAACATTTTCGTCATATTTTGCTTTTTTAAAAAAGGGAAAACGCATCGCAAGCTGACAAAAAGTTATGTGCTGTTTATGTGGAGCAGGCCAGGTGAACCAGCCAAACAACATCAAAAGATGGTATTCATCAAAAGAAGGTTTTGTTATCAGTTTGGTGGGATCATAAAGGTACCGAACGATCTGTTCTGTTGTCTACATTGAACAACTAACGAAATTAAACAATGCAGTTTAAGAAAAGCGGACCGAATTGATAAATTGAAAAAGTGTTGTATTCCATCATGGCAATGCAAGGCCACATACATCTTTGGTCACTCGGCAAAAATTATTGGAGCTTGGTTAGGATGTTTTGCCACATCCACCATATAGTCCTGACCTTGCACCATCAGATCACTTTTTGTTTCGATCTTTACAAAACTCCTTAAATGGTAAAAATTCCAATAATGATGATGTCAAATCGTACCTGATTCAGTTTTTTGCTAATAAAAACCAGAAGTTTTATGAACGTGGGATTATGATGCTGCCTGAAAGATGGCAAAAGGTCATTGATCAAAATGGGCAATACATTACAGAATAAAGTTATTTAGTTCCATGAAAAAATTGTCTTTGATTTTTTAAAAAAAAATCCGCAATTACTTAGTTGCCACTCCATATATATGTATGTTTGTTGACAAAGTCGTCTTTTCGTTTTTTCAACAAAATCTCCGCCCACACTCACCGTTCGTTGGCTCCACATTGCACAGAGGCGTGTGAGGACTCTTAGTATATTAATATGTTGCTTAACATGTATTGAAAAATACTGATGCATTAATGACTTATTTGAGATTTCAAAATTCACCTTTTTCTTTGAACACACCTCGTATATAAAGGAGTTTTAATAAGCAAAACGACAAAATCTACTCAAAAACTTCCAAACTGGCAAACAATTTTATTTTAAGGATTCAACGTGCTGACCATCAAGCTGCTGTAAATATTTGCTTCTAAAAGGTGTAAAGGCGTTACATCTCTTCCTTTCTATAAAAACTGGATTAAAACTGGGGCGAAAATGTATCAGCAGGATGTTTTAGAATGCGTGATAAGACAGTTAAGCAATATTCTCTTTGATGGATAGCATTGGATTTTCCAGCATGATTCTGCTCCAGCACACAAGGCAAAAACCACCAAGCAGTGGCTTAAAAGCAATATTACTGGTTTCATAGTTGCAGATATGTGCACTTTAATTATTTATTTAGTTTTTAGTAATGATATTTAAATAATAATTTTAACTTTAAACGGAAAAATATTAGGAAAAAACCAAGACAATGCACTTATATAAGTAGAGATCGTTGTTATAAAAAATAAAATAAACTTAAGAAACAAAAGCAATTCATATTATTGTATATATGCACCGCGTGCATTCATATATTTAGAGATTTTTGATTACATGATTAAAATGTTAATTGAAGAAGTTTGTAATTTTTGTTTGTATATAATATGTGAAATAACATGGGATTCGGTATTCCTTAATTCACACAATAATGTATTATAAAGCTTCGAGAACTGACAGAGGCTTTGAATGAAAATCTTCTTTCTCTTGGGGGGAGGATGCCCAACTTATTCCAGTGTGAGAGCGCCTCAAAATTAATGTTTTTTATAGCAATTTCCATCGAAGCCAGGGCATTCAAATTAAAACACCAAGCATTTATTACGATTAAAAATTCTTTAATATTGGACGTTTAATATATGGAAAAACTATTTAATTATTTTTTCATGAATTTATGGTATATTAAAACAACTGACTTTTGAACTTTCAATACTTAATAAAGTGATTTACTTGTTAGTTCTCAATCATTTAAAGTTTTTAATAATTTTCAATTGAAAATTAATACTATGATGCATCGCATTACAAAAAATTACATCTAAATTTCGCACCTTCTTTAACTACCATTGTGTGTTTTATTAGTGATCTTGAACGGCGACACAAAGTTCTCCGTTCACATGTATTTTTGGTAGACTTTTAGTGCCCAAACAGTCACCGACATTTCTCACTTCCTTCCTTACCGCCCGTATCAAACCAAATTTGTCAAAAGTTATGCCCGTAGTTACAATGCAGAAATCAGTTGTTCTTTATATACATTATACACTATACACGATTTTTCACATTTAGTTTTTTAGTTGAAATTTTTCATAATGTAAAAGCTCAAAACTAAAATCCAAATAAAAATAGTTTACTTATTTATAAATAAGTGTATTCGACTGTGATTTTAAGTTAATTTAAGAATATTTCAAATATATTCAAGTTAATTTTTTGATTACTACAAAATATCGAGATTGGCAACCCTGCGTTGCAAGAGATTGCTCTCTCACTCTCAGCTCACTCGTTTCTACCTAAAAAATCCAAAAACCAATTTTCCCGGATATCCTACCGTACGGTCTGTTGAAGCGGACGGTAGAAGCGGTGGTGACTGTTCATTTATATTGCGCTCACATTCGGTCCACGGTTTTGTGTCGGTGACTCTTTGTGCCATTAATCTGGCCGTTCGAGTCGTTCCAATCGCGAAACGTCAAAACATACCCGATCCAGTCAACTGTCAAAGTCGAGTAGATGAGTTACTCTCTCATTTCCAACGATATCATCTCTTCATCTCTATCCACACCATCAGCACTATCTAAAATATCTTCACCAATAAACATATGTATTCAATTACTTTGCAGAGATGCCAACTGCTGCGAAATAAGTATGTGCGGCAAAGCCAGATTATTTTTTTTACGAAGGTTTTTTATGCAAAGAAAAATGAAGGTATATTTTTTTAATAACACATATTTTTAACCAATTATGCGGGAAAATCAATTAACCGGGTTCAATTAAGCGGGAAATCGTACACGAATTTTATGTGCAATATATTTTGGACCGAGTCAAATAAGCGGAAAAATCAATTAAGGGGGGGATACTGTACCTGCCTCACTCATTGTGGTTGTAATGCCGAATTTAACAACATCCGCCAATTTTAACTTAATTTTTTTCGAGACATGCTTCATATAAGACGGTGGTAACCAATTCACTACCACACTTATAAAATTTCACATCTTACACCACTATATATTCAAAACTAACTCTTTGTTTCTAAATCGAAAAATCGATTGTAAGAGTAGCAACATTCATCATGCAAATTTTTGAATTCAAAAGAAAGAGATGCGCACATAGACAATGAATCTGTCAAAAAAATCGCTTATTTGTTAATTTTCATAAATGTTTCTTAAATTAAACTATTTTCAAAACAGGAAACAAGCAAACGAAGACCATTTTGGAAGCACAATACAATATTAAGCAACAAGAACTTATTGTATAGGAAAAGTATAAAGTGCGAAACCAATTTGGTAAGTATGGTTATGTTAAAATTTTGGTATATGTATAGTTTAGACCCCCAAACGAAGGAGGCCTGTAAAAGTAAAATTTTTTTAAATCATCTAATTTTGTCGAGAAGATTACAAATCCGTGAGCGGAAAGTCGATTTTTTCAATTAAAAATAAAGGTATTTTTTACAAAAAATTACACACTTCGCACATGTTCTTTCGCGTGGTAACTCCTTTTTGCACAGCGGCTTGTGTAATAACCAATAACCCTGGTCAGTCCAAAACCGGGGTGTTCATAATTCATTCGCGTCGAACTCCTTTCTGCATTGGCGGCCATCGGTTGCGCTTCAAAAAAATAACCCTGGTCGGTCCAACACCGGGGTGTGCAGAAAGGAGTTCGACGATCTCTATTCGTCCATACCATCCGATCGCGACGTAAAAGCAATTGTGACTGTTACATTTCTTCAGTATTTTTTTTCACAAGAAAATGTCTAAATTAGTGATTTGAATTGGACAGAATTCTACCGCTACAACAACAAAGTTACTTGAAAAAATATGTGCAAACTATGTTAAATATATTTTTATATAAAATTATATATGAATTATTGAAAAAATCGACTTTCCACTCCCGGATTTATAATCTTCGCGTCAAAATAAGACGATTTAAAACAAAAATATAATTTTCCTCCTTCATTGGGGCCTCTTCATATAATAGAATATCTTTTATATTATATACTAATATATTATGTATCTCTTTAGGTTTTTTGGATTGCGAGTTGCTTGGATTGGAGTCGAATTCAACTAATTTAAATCGTGCTGAAGTTGCGGTCAAACAGGTATGTACATGTTGATAAGTGTTTTTGCGTATTAACTCGATAAGTGAAAAATGTGCGCAAAGTTTGTTTAACTCAGTGAATTAGCATGCATTCATTTGCATAAAAACTAAAAACTATAAGCTTTATTTAATTTATTATTATTAATTATTACTTAATTTATTTGTTAAAGTTTTACTTTAGCGCTATCATTATTGATTGCGGCTTTATGTACATGTGTATTACAAAGCGTTTTTATTGTTTTCTTTTTTATCTTTTTAGTTTCAAAAAAGTGATAAGCAAAGAAATGGCGATTACTTCTCCACGCGTTTGAACGTTCAAGAGGATGGCATTAACTTGGTTTAAATCAAGAATAATGTAGGACTGATAACTATATCCAAGTACAGGACCAAAATTAATAAAGTAAAAAATTATTAATATAATTATTTTACAGGTTTAGCTTGTGTGGGTCACCAGAACTTCGAAGGTTTTCGCCGATGATGTTTCCGAACTGGAAATACAGTGAGATAAATTATGTGGCGATCGCGAAGGGTTGTGTGAGATATTTCGCAATGGTTATTCCAAGGTAGGTTGTCTTATTTTGTGCTTTAAGGTTGGAAAGACCATTAACTTATATTGTCTTGCCTCCTCTAGGTTGTATTGCCTTGCAGGGATTTGTCATCGTGGTGAGCAACGATCATCTTTTGTAACAGGCCAATTAGAACGCCGCACTACTGTTTCAGTGTTTAGTGGGCTATTATGCGAAAGATATTCTACATCAAGTGGTGCAGCGGAGAACGCCGAGAATGCTTAGAATGTGCTGTGTCGTTTGGAGCACATCACCGTCAACAATACTATTTATACGCAGAGGACTGTCATCTCGGAGAACCATGTCTACTATAAGATGCGCGTTTTCAATCCAACACACATTTGGCCATGGTTGCTGCGTATCGAATTGAAATATTCCAAGTGTTTGGCATTGAGGCTGTGCGTAAATCGGTTGAGAAGTAAATTAATGCTGTGCTGAAGCTCTACGGGTTGTATGTAAACTGTGAGGTAATGACAGCTTACTGAATACAATTAAGTAAATTATGATATATAACTATTCTAGATGTTATATATAATTGAGGTCATAATATAAGTATGAATAATTTAATCATAACTGACAAATATTGTATATTTCTATGTTGAATATGTACATATACTTTAATTATTAGGATTGTTATTAAAAATTTTTTCTTTTGGTTCATTTTAGCATAAAATTAATAGTGGAAGACTTCTTCAAATTAACCTAAAATATTTTGTTTGGTTAGAAAATGTCCTCAGCTGAAAGTTTAACATTTTGTTTAATTACCTTAACATAGGTAACCCATGTTAATCCTTTTTTTGGTTACCAAAACAATGTTAAGGTAACAAAACAAAATGATACGGGAAGTAAACAATGTTAACGTGTAGCCAAGGTAACCACCGTAAATAACATATGTATATTAAGTACATTTTAGTTTTTAAAATATAAAAATTAAGTTAGCTATTAATATGAAGTACAAAATTAATTAATTAAAAATATTATTGTTTAATAAGGGTACATGTATGTACCTAATGTTCGAATATTAACAATTAAGTATAAAAGTTTGATAATCAATATTAACTATCTATAAACCATATATGAATATATTAATGAGATTTTTAACAAAAATAACAATAATGTTATGTAAAATTTAGTTTGAAATGTATATATGTATGTATATATTTATAAATGCTTTTATTTGAAATCTAATCTAAAATAATTTCTAACAATTTTTTTAAATTATTGTAAGAAAGAAAATTTTGTTTGTAATATATATACATATATACATGTATACATTAATGCTAATATTTAAAAGCTAAACTAAAATAATTACTAAAAGTTTGTAACAATAGAAAGGAAAATTATAAAAAAAAAATAAATAAATAAAAATTTAATGAGAATTTCAATTGTTTTACTTATAAGTAAAACATTAATCGATACGTTAGGTAGTGGTAACCAATGAATAACTAAACAAATAACCCACAGAAGTGTTCGAGGTAACCAATCAACCAGTTTTCTGTAACCAATGGATAACCAAACAAATAATCTATGAATCAGTCTTCTATAACTTATAGGTAGCCATATCTATAACCCAACAAACTATTTTCAGTAACAGATGGGTAACCAAACAAATAGCCAATGAAAACGACGCTGTTAACCAAAAAGTAACAGATAGTTTTCCAAAATAGTTGGCAATGTAGAGCAGTAAAATATATGTAGCATTTGCGCAAAAGCAATGAGAGAGAGCGAGTAAGATAATCACTCCGACGTGTAGTGAAAGAGGAGAAATAGTTACCTTTTTCCTGAGACTAGAACAAAAGTAACCTATCGGATAACTAATGCATTAAGTACTGATAACCTATCGGTAAACAGTGAGCTAACTTTTACCCGTCTTGTAGGGGTGATGAACACGGATACGAGAACAAAATAAAGGCGATAAATTGCCAGAATTAACTAGACGGCGATATTGGTAGTTGCCAGAGTATTCGAGTGGCGAAGTTTTGTTAACGATTTATTACATATATAAGGGCTGCCGTATTGTGCAGCAGACACAGTACTAGTTAGAGTGCTGTCGTGTAAAGCAGGGATAATGGGATGCCCAATTCTTTCCAGTGTGAGAGCGCCTCAAAATTAGCGTTTTTTATAACATTTTCCATTGTAGCCAGATCGGAATTTAAATTAAAATACCCATCATTTCTTAAGATTAAATATTATTATACATGTATCCGTTAAACATATTCAGAAACTTTTTATACTCTCTTTTTGTGATTTTGTGATATATTAAACAATTGATTTTTGAACTTTCAATACGTAATCAAAAGAATAAATGTATTCGCTCTCAATTAATAAATGTTTTTAAAAATTTTCAATTGAAAATCAATACCACTTAGCATGACATCACAAAAGATATCATCACATACATTTCAATTTCGCATTTTCTTTCATTTTCATTGTTTTCTAATTTTTGTTAGTGATCTTCAACAGCAGCACAAATCTCTCTGTTTACATATTTTTCTGTAGGATTTTAATCTGGCCGTCCCTCTTTTTCCAATTGCTAAACGTCAGACCTACTGAACTTTGACAGTTGCTTGAGTTCAGTAGGTTTTGACGTTTATCAATTGCGCTCTCATTTCCAGTGAGAGACGAGTTGGGCATCTCCTTATCTCTGGTGTAAAGAGCAATTGAGATATAAGTAAGAAGTTGTAAATTCGGATAATGAGTAGTAAAGCGTTTAGTTGTTTGGATTGGAAATAAAATAGTGTAGTAAATAGTGTATAGCCATTAAATTGGGACTTTAATTTAACAATCCAGTGATCGAACTTAAGAGTGAGTTTCAACGTAGACGATTTATCGAGAATATTTGAAGTGATTAGATTACATAAACTCTTCACTAATCAAGGCGGTTCTCACTGCCTTTGGAGATTTATAAAAGAGCTGTTTTTGGCATTCAAGAATTCACATCTTTTAATATTTATTAAAAGAAAACATTTTAGGCGCCTAGCAATGAAACGTTTACTGCTGGTTTACACATTTCTCAAAATAGCTTATCAATATGGAGCAAATTCCACAAGGTCTATTTGGATAAAGGTATGTATATAAATATTGATATTATATGTATTATTCATTAAATGTTTTAAGAAGTCGATGGCCAGATAAATTCAGATGCATTTTTTAAAAGCAACTTCCGAATGAACCGCCAATCTTTCAAAAAATTATATATTAAGCTTAAAGGTTTGGAGAGGAAAAACATTAACTACCGGAAGGCAATTCAATTGCAATGTAACAGCATATAGTTGGCTCTTCTGCAGAATACCGGACAATTGGAAATATGTTTGGAATTGGCAAAAGCTCTGTCTGCACCATTCTAATTAAGTTATGCCATGAAGTCTGGCGATGTTTTTGGCCTTTGTATTTGAATAAATTTTGTTATGAAGCTCGTTCAAACCCCTAACGTATTTCTTTAATGTTATAGATGTTGCTTTATATGCATCAACGTTAGTAGTAGAGGCCATTGTAATGACTATTTTTGAGAGTTTATTTGTTGGGCGACTCTGCGTTCAAACTTTAGGAAGATTTGATGAAACCATATCCATTTTCTATAAACCAACCATTGGATAAAAAAAAATTTAACTATACACTCTCGAAATGTCGTCGAGAATGTTTTCGGTCATTTAAAGGCAAGGTTTCGGCTGGTGGGCAAAGGTTTGGATAACCACATAGTCGACACGAAAACTGTCATAAAAGCGTGCTGTATTTTGCACAACTTTTTGAAAGAGGATGGAAAGAGAAGGAGGTGGATTGCAGCACAACAAATCGAAGATCAAGTTCGCCAGTTGCTAGAAAACGTCCCTAACATTTCTGGATATATTAACCCAATGGCAGAGGCAATAAGACAAGCCTTCGTTTCATATTTCGGTATGTTGTTGCATTGAACTTTGAAATAACCATTCCATACTTACATACAAATTCTAGTTATCAAACACAAATACTTTTAGAAGATATATTCTATATATTACATATATACTTGCATTTTTATTAAATTTATAGAGGCAAAACTAAAATTTTTTCGTTCACTCTTTAAAAACTCAAAAATATATTATATACACAGAAAATTCTTAATTCACACATTAAAATAATACTGTTATACTTATAATACTACTAATTTTGGCGACGAAGGGAGTTGATGAAAGAATCCTTTATATCCCAAAAATCCTTTCCTTATTTTTCTAGGATTTTTTGACGTTTTCCAACGTCTTCCCTTATCGCCTGAGTCGCCATTAATAAATCGTCCCTCATCTCTTCCATCCCTGACACTGTCTTCTTTCTTGCTTTTCCACCGTCACAAGATGAAGGACGATTTGAAACATTAGACATCGATGGGCCAGGAGTTAAAGGTCACAAGTAGCGATTTTATTTTGAGCCTCTACCGGCATTTACCCTCTGTTTCCTAAATCCACTGAAAATATACATATGTGCATACTCGTTAAATACATAATAGTCCTGTAAATATTCTAATAAAAGCCGTTTCATTAAACTAACGACATAGAACGAACTAATGTTTACATAGTATATATTTATTTAAATGATACGGCTCATTATGGAACCTATTGTACTTCTATACAATTACAACTTACAAGCTCAGCGGAGCAAAAGCTTTTATAACCACCTATCGTTTGGTGGACTGCAGCATAGTGCTTCCACGTCGAAGGCGAGCCGCCTGATACGCCAACGTTCCGTTTCTTCTGCCTAAAAATATGCAACAATTTCTATATAAAAATTATATTTAACTTTTTTTATTTTTACCTACTTGTATTTATTTGTAAAGTTGTGTTAAAACACTTTTTTTCCAGCAAATATTAGAATACAATAATTGATAAAATGTAAATATGTAGAAACAATTTATTGGTGAATAATAAGAACATATTATAAAAAAAAAATTAACTATACATCGAGAAATTACAAGATACAATTTTTAAAATTTTCAACTTAAAATAAGAATATCTATATTCCTTATTTTGAGAATCTCCTCTACCCTAACCAATTTTATCTGTATCTATCTATACCTAGTTTAACTATGAAATCGTGGGATGGTATACTAAAGTTTCCCCTGTTGGTTAATTAGTGCATTAAATCATTTTGTTTTGGTTTCCATTATTCACATATGCATGAATTTGCGTTTGGGTGTTTAAATTTCTGCTCGTGTGCAGAATATTTAATATAAAAATGTGTTTAATATAATTGAATAGGATTCAATTAAAAGAAAATCCGCTTGTTGGCTTCTCATCTGTCTTCACTACTTTATTTTTAGCACTGACTAAAAATCCGTAGAAGCAGGCAATTACATATATGCCAAATAGTCACATGTACAAAAAACAGTAATAATAACTTAACACCTATAGGCTATGCAGTTTACAAAGATAGTCGGCGTCGTTGACATACGTGTGTACGAACAAAAATACGCCTAAATGTATATAACTGAATGCGAATAACAAAAGAGAGAATAAATAACGTTACAATCAGGCGATATTTTATTTCATAGGCGTAGCGTATGTACATTTAGAGGGGGGCTTATACCCTAAACAATATTCCAATCTCAAACAATAGTATTAATGAATAAACTAGAAGTGAATTGTGCAAGCAATTAGCAGTAATGCCTAAAAATTATAAATATTTGTGGACCAATAAATGTGTACATAACTGTGTATTTGCTTGTTTCAGAATGTTGAAGATGATTAAAAACAAGAAAAACGTTAAAGTCGGTTACAGTTTGTATGGCAGCTATATGCTACAGTGGTCCGATCTGAACAATATCTTTAGAAATTGAAGAGTTGTTTTGCACAATAAGCCGTGCTAGCTTTCGTGAAGATATATTATCCAATAAAAAATTTTCCATACAAATACTTGACTTTGATCAGTCAGTTTTTATGACAGCTATATGTTGTAGTTCGCACTAGTCCGCGTATGTACAGACAGACGGAAGGACGGACAGGATTTAGGACATGGCTAAATCGATTTATATACTTATATATTATGAATGACATGGGCATTGTTGTGCATCAATACATACATATGTATGTATGTCGTTCAGTACTTAAA